GGGTGGATGTTAACAGAGAAGTCCAAGCGGATAATCAGGCTTACTCTGCTCACCTCTCTAGCTTCAACAGAACAAAGTCTGCTTCGACTATCAAGGCACTAGAGGTGGGCAAAGTTCGGATAATCTATGGGGATAACCGGATAATTCTCAATGAAACATCATCCGAATTCAGATTCTTTAACTCTCTTGCCTGACCCGTTTGCAGAAGTGGGTTCACCCATGTGTTGAAGTATTGCTAACCCGTTTGTTTAAGTGGTTCTAACCCTTTTGCCGAAGAGGTCCACTAACATGTTATTCGGATTTTTGCAAAAGCGACTCATTACCCAGCCCTACAAGGCACCCCGGAAATAGCAGTTCACTTCAGTCAGTGGCACTGCCCTGGTTTTGGGGTGGGGGTGGGTGCTGGAGTATAAAGAAGGGTATCCACATGATAATTATATTCTAAGGCTTGTTTCCTTGTTTGAGAAAAGAGAAGCTCAGCAACATGATAACAGCCGCTTACAGAACGTTTTGTTCCTCTGAACATCACTCAGGCTCTCAAATGGGTTACAACAACTCGACAAGCACATGTGATCTTTGTCACAGACTCTCAGAGCACTCTGAGGAAGATTGAAAGAGGGAACCTTAGAGCTGAATGGACAGAGCTCCTGAAGAAGACGACACTGGAAAAGATCATGTGGATCTTCACCCCGGGCCATGCTGGAGTTAAGGGCAATGAGGGGGCTGATGAGCTCGCTGGGAAAGCAAAACCGGAAGGGAAGCTGTGCCCTGACAAACCTGAAATTGTGTGTTCAGTCAAGGAAAAACGAGAAAAGGAACAAGAAGAGTCGGAATACCATCATCTTGAGTGACTTCGAGAGCTTGGAATTGGATGGGGCGCCTACAGAAGATCAAGACTCAGTGGGAGGAGCAGAAGGCTATGGAATCAAACATTGCTTGGAACCGTCAGCATCTACACACTTCGAGATGTGCTTCTTCAGGGGACGGAGCGCTTATAGTGATGCCCCTTGTGCAATGATGTCGGTCCTTCTCACAAGTAACAAGTATATTCTTCTGAGAAAATAGAAGCACACTGACACCCTTAGAAACGTTTCCTAAGAAATGTCACTTACACAAAGCTTGTTCCTAAAAACTAAGCAGATAAAGGCCAGGAGCCCACTAAACATCTGACGTCTACTTGAATCCAACCTCCATGCCATTCAACACGTAAACTCCCACCCTTGTGACTCATCACGCTAACATAACATCTTTGTGGTTACAACACAATGGCTCAAGTCATGTTATCTTGTGAAATATATACGTTTCAAAAAAGGTGTTGACCTAAGTCATGACTTGTGAAAAAGTAAAAATGTCTCAACAATAATTTGTGTTTTTCGTATACGAAACAAAACTCTGCTGCTATACTGGGGATAGGAAGCAAGTGGCAGGCACGTTTTTACCATACAAATATCTTCTCCCATTAATGACGGCTAGACGGCTTGCCTAGCCGTACTTAATAATGATGGCTTTACTGACAAACAGCAAAAAGTAGGTGTACTGAATTGTAAGTAAGTTTCTAGTTTGCAATACCTAAAGTATTAGTATTTCTGTCGAAACCAAAAGGTGTTTTTTCTGACATGCATGTATCTTAAAACCGAATTTGTTACTAGATCTAAAGAGACCTGTGTACTCCACAGGTTTTGGTAAATAGGGTCTGACCTAAGTACGGCTAGACTGACAGGCTAGCGACCATACTTAAGTACGACTTGCCACTTTGTTCGTTTTTGGGGGGTTTTTTTAGCTTCTTTTGGAAAAAAGTGAGGGGGGGGGGGATTAAGAAGAGATTTTTGTGTTGTTGCTTTTTTTTTCTCATGATATTAGCTTTTTAGTTGCTGCTTTCGCGCAAGGATAAAATAAAGAATGTAAGATGATGAGAACCGAGTGCCACGGTAAAACAAACACCTAGTCGCCACCATTCAGAGAACGAGCGACGCTTCTGTCACAAGTTCACGTTGACGTCCATGGTTACTTTGTTACAGAGGGGTAAACAAAACAGTCACTTCACGTACGATTTGTGTATGAGTTGTGGGCGGGGCTTATAAGTTATGACGGATCGCACGCTTCTCTCACCAGCAGTTGAAAATGTATTGGTCAACCCATTGGTCAACTTGGGTAAACCTTCATTGGAGGGACTAACAAAAACGACAGGTGAATGGACTATGACGCCCGCCCACAGCGCCAAGAGGCCGATGTAGAATTTATAACAAAGCATCGGGCGATTCAAGACCACGCCTGGCCGCCTCCAGCAGGTAAATTCGGCTGTGGGTTGATAAAATACGGTGGCCGCGGCCGCGTGGGACGGGTGACCGTTTTACAGTTAAATTATACAGATAGAAGGCATGAGGGGAAGTGGAAAGTGGCCGTCATGGCAGGTTCGTCTGAACAATTCTAATTCAAGTCACAAACTCAAAGCCAAAACAAGCTAGCCAAGGAGTGGAATGACGTCTATAAGACTTTATTTGAACGAAGTGATTCCACACACCGGGTGTGCAAATAATATAGTTTTATTCACACCGGGTCTGCCAATAATTTTTTTTAAATTCCCACCGGGTGTGCGAATAATGTATAATTTTATTCACACTGGGTGTGCGAATAAGAAATAAGTCTATTCGCACAGGGTAGTTTAGGCTACTAAAACTGCTCGTGGCGAGATCGGCAAATGGCCCACCTACCGCTGTGTCATTTTGAGGAAAACTGTGGGTCAAAGGGGCATTTGTTGGCGGCCTCTTGTGACATCAACATCAATGTTGTGTGTCTCCATGCAACAACAACGACACTCTAATACGGTGTGCCAACTACGGATGGGATCAAACACGTTTGATTTTGAGGTGATCGAGTCGGACGATAGGGCCGATCCCGTCCGTAGTGGGCACCCCGTTTAATGCATAGGAGAGCTATCATTCTAACATCACGAAGATTGTTAATTTAAAAAATGACCTTGTCTAGTGTATTGGCTGGCTTGGTCGAATTGAACAAGTCCAAGATTACAGAATGGGTGGTTGACGGGTGCTCTTGTGTGGTTTGTTCCTTCTTTCCTGCCAAACATCTGTCGTCCTTATCTCCCCTCCTTCTTTTTTGTGTATGTTACTCTCTTGTAACACATCTATTCTTCGGCACTTATATGACCTTATTGTGTTGCAAGTGATGTAAAACTCTTACTATAACTTTAAAAAACAACTAAACAAGATTACAGAGACGAAAGGAAAACAACTGCTATGCTTCAATTCCAATGTTTATGATCACATAGACCAGGACAGAGCGTCAACCGATGTTACAAATCTGTGTCTTGGTTAGCAGCTGAGCGTGTCAAATTTGAATGTGAGCTTGTTCTGTCAGCGAGTGTGAACTTCACTATAGTAGAAGATCGGTTGTGGGTGGGGTGGGGCTGTTGTTACGTACAAAGACAAGCACCACACAACTACACCAACCGAGGCTCTCTCTCTCTCTCTCTCTCTCTCTCTCTCTCTCTCTCTCTCTCTCTCTCTCTCTCTTTCTTTCTTTCTCTCTCTCTCCCTCTCTTTCTCTCCCTCTTTCTCTCTCCCCATCTATCTCTCTCTTTCGCTCGCGAGTTTGAGAGAGTGTTTGAAAAAGGCTTCTAAAAACAAAATTTCGGTTTTCCGTTATCGCCGGAAATAATCTATTTCTTATTGACGCCAGGTGACTGCGGTGAGGAATTTTATTGTTTCGTGGCATGATGGATGTGCGAGGCAATGTCCCACCTCGGCCACAGGATGGACAATCCATTCACAAATACAAGAAACTGTACATTCTGACATGGATTTGTGTCATTGTTACCTCGCTTCTCGTGTCGTCTGCTGCCGTTGTCGTCATTGTTCACACTGTGCGTGCGGACAGGGCTGATGTACTGACCGCTATAAACCAGGTGTCCACCAACATTACAGGCCAGTTGTCTGCCGTGCAGGAAAAGTTTGACAACCTGGAGGAGAAAGTGTCAGATGACGTCAACAAGGCGCGAAGTTCGGAGAGGGCTGATGTACTGACCGCTATAAACCAGGTGTCCACCAACATAAGAGCCGTGCAGCAAATGTTCGATAACTTGGAGGAGAAAGTGTCAGATGACGTCAACAAGGCGCGAAGTTTGGAGAGGGCTGATGTACTGACCGCTATAAACCAGGTGTCCACCAACATTGCAGGCCAGTTGTCTGCCGTGCAGGAAAAGTTCGACAACCTGGAGGAGAAAGTGTCCAAGGTGGAAGATGTCGTCATGACACCAAGAAGGCTTAAGCTGTGCTCTCACGGCAACGGTTGTGAGCTGACCAGTAGGCATGAAGCAATGACCCACTGTTACAAAGTGTTCGAAGTGAAAACTACGTGGGCAGACGCGAGAAAGAGATGTGAGTCTATCGGTGGCTTCCTGGCCGAGTTCCACGACCATGTCTCCGTGGAATATGTGAAACGGGTTGTAGCCAAGGATAACTCAAGGCTCTGGATCGGCGCCACTGACCATGACAAAGAGGGCACCTGGACGTGGGTCACATCCGGCAAACGTCTGTCCGTGGATGACTGGGTCAGAAACCAGCCGGACAACGCCAGGAACAGCGAGCACTGCATGGAGATAAGAGAAGTATTGAGGGTATTTGGGGGGAAAAGATGGAACGACAGGACGTGCGAACACAAGCTGGAATATCTCTGTCAGAGAGACGGGGACAACTGTGAAGACTGGCTGGAACAAGAGTAAAAAGAAACGTGTACTGCTTCTATGATGACTTAATCTAACGAGCAGATCACGGGGCCCCGTGCAGGTCACAGTGGGGCTGGTGCTAAATCTTACTGGAACAGGAAACAGTTGGCTGTGACCTTGGACGTGCGCAAAGACATGGAGGGTTATACTTTACTTTTACTACAACATCTTGTTGTGAGGCTAATGTTTTGGAAGATATTTGTCATAGATCTTGATAAAGGAGATGGTTTTGTTGACGATTATGATGATGGTGATGATGATGATGAAAATTGTGAAGATGTAGTCATTAGATTTTACTTTTTTTTGTATCGTGTTCCCGGCGAAGCCGTTTACAGGGCGAAACGTTGAACCTGTAGTAAATTTGAAAAATCTACTAAGTCTCAACCCCTTTTTTAAAATTCCCTGCTACCTACAATGAACATGGCGCAAATGATGATGATGATAATGATGATGATGATAATGATGATGATGATAATGATGATGATGATGTATATTAAGGGGAAATATGGAGATCCGTTGGCTGCGAATACAAAAAAATAACAACTCAGATTACTTTTTTCGTTTCTACAAATGCAATTATCAAATAATTTGTTATATTGTCACAGTCACAGAAAAAATGTAATCAGAATGTTATTTAATCAAATTAACACACTAGGCCCCTACTCTAACAAAAAACAATACAGTTGTATTCCAGCAGTATAATAATAATAATAATAATTGTTATTATTATTATTATTATATATTATTATTATTATATATTATTGTTATTATTATTATTATTATTATTATTATTATTATTATTATTATTATTATTATTATTATTATTATTATTATTATAAATGATATTTATATAGCGCTCAATCATGATTAAAGTACACAGGCTCTGAGCGCTTTACAATACAATATAATGTACAACAGTAACATAAAACATTGTGTTGTGACTAAAAGAAAATCACTACAAATATTTATGTTACTAATTTTAAAAAAGAACTGACTTCAGTTGACATTTGAATGAATCAAAAGATCTTGGTGCCTTGATACATTCAATTAGAACGTTACTCTGGGGTCACTGATTCCAACCTTGTTTGATTGTTCCAATTTTTGTAACTCTTTCCAACTTCTGTTTGACCCATGACCTGTTTTGTAATTGGCCAAACCTTTGTATGCTTGTCGCTGGGTTTTATTTCTCGTACTTTATTCGGAGATTTGCTTGGTTGTTCGTCTTTTTTTACAACTTATCAGTCTTTGCTTGATAGAGAATCTTTTCTCTTATCGTTTCCCATTGGAACCTTTCCTGACTGTTAATCTTTTTCAAAATTCATTATTTGTACTTTTTAAAGAGTAATAATTAATCCGCACCATTTGAAAGAGAACACAAATGTGTAGTTCACTTCGCTCTGTGCTTTCTTATGACTGAACAATGATATACTGTTGATATAATGTGTCCCATCTGTGTTGATATATGTCCCATCTGTGTTGATATATGTCCCATCTGTGTTGATATATGTCCCATCTGTGTTGATATATGTGTTGATATATTTCCCGTCTGTGTTGATATATGTCCCATCTGTGTTGATATATGTCCCATCTGTGTTGATATGTGTCCCATCTGTGTTGATATATGTCCCATCTGTGTTGATATATGTCCCATCTGTGTTGATATATGTCCTATCTGTGTTGATATATGTCCGACCAGTGCTACTGCAATATGTCCCATCTGCTTTCACGAATTCTGTTTACCAGGATCATTTCTGAATCATTTCGTTGTTGTCCTTTTTCCTTTGTCAGTCCAACTTTTGCCAGGTCGTTGACGTTTTCATGACATTTTCCAGCTTTAACTTAATTGTCATTTTGTTTTTGTTAATCGTCCGAACCCTTCTGTACAGAGAGGAAAAGAACATGGTTTCATAACTCACTGCACTTCCCTGTACGCTTTCTCACACTGCTTGTATTGGATCATGTCCGAGATGTCTTCACGAGTTCTTGTCTAGCTGAGTTATTTGTCATCCATTTCACACTCTGTTTTTATGATAACTGTGTTGCATACTATTGATGAAAGCCCCAGAATTAAACTTTCTCTGTGTTTTATTGTTTACATTCCATAATTTTTTTTTTCTCACGAGTTTTATCATACCTGCTTGTCTGTCTATTTGCAAGTTTATCTTTTCTGGTTTAATTAATTAATGCAAAGTCATGTGTTTGTACAACGACCACTGTAGACGACAATTCTGTTCACATCGATCTATGTCGTTTGTTTCCAACTCAACTCAAGATTATTGTCATTTTTGTGTGTTATCATTAAAAAGGAAAAAATCTACTCTTTCAAAAGATGAGCCAGAACTAGTTGATTAGAATATATCCTGAGATGATTTCTCTCTCTCTCTCTCTCTCTCTCTCTCTCTCTCTCTCTCTCTCTCTCTCTCTACCTTCCTACCTACCTATCTGTCTATCTATCTATCTCTCACACACAAACATAGACAGACATACACTCACACGGGCACACTAACTAACAGACCACACAGACACACAGAGACACAAACACATACACACAGAGAAAGAGAGAGATTCAAAGATTCAAAATGATTTATTGATTTGAAAGGCCTTTGGTCCATACATCCGCATATTTTAACATATGGTTCGGCAATTACATACATTGGTGCAGCACATTGGATGTTTAACATAAATTGGACATGCACGCCCACATACACGTATGCACGCACGCACGCACGCACACACACACACACACACACGCACGTGACGCACGCACATACACTCATACACACTCCTGCTCACACACATACTTACATACATACGTACATTCGTACATACGTACATACGTACATACGTACATACGTACATACGTACATACATACATACATACATACATACATACATACATACATACATACATACATACATACATACATACATACATACATACATACATACATACATACATACATACATACATACATACATACATACATACAGAGAGAGAGAGAGAGAGAGAGAGAGAGAGAGAGAGAGAGACAGAGAGAGACAGAGAAAGTGAGAGAGAGAAAAGTGAGAGAGGGGGTGAGGGAGAGTGAGAGAGAGAGACTGTCAGAGAGAGAGAGACTATCAGAGAAACAGACAGACAGACATTGTCACGCCACGAAATGCCTAAGATCATGCGGCAGCATCTGAGACTGAGATGGAAAATGTCGAGGTGCTTTTCTTGCCTGCTGTACAAGGTCCCTGTTTCAGATCCATAAAGGAGTGTGCGGAGGACATACTAATGTTTCGTAAATCTTGATCTTTGTTTTTATGGTTAATCTTTTTTTCCCATGCTCGTTTTGTCAGCCTTCCAAAAATTGTTGCTGCTTACCTTATCCTGATGATGATCTCATCATCAAGTGAAGTAGTAGAGCTGATGGTAGGCATTAGGTAACAGAACCTGTCCACTGTTTCAAGTTCCTTTTCGTTCAGCCAACTATGGCTCTGCTCTGAGCATTACAGAGGAAGGATGACTGTTTTCTTAACACTTCTCGGCCTTTTGGCTAAGATCAAAGTGTAGTTTCTGTTCTCAGCTTCTCCTCCGGCCTTGTGCCCACTGGTTTAGCGAGGCGGATACTACCCGAGGCACCCGAGGGATGGAGAAATGTGCCCCTCTTTTCTATCGAGTGGACGGTCATAGTCCAATGATATTTTAAAAAACAATTATAAAAAAACACTGATGACCAAGCTGAAGACCTTGCATGCTGTTGATAGGCGGTCCATCATTGTTTGTAGGGTTGATTCACTGTGAGCAACAAGAGCAGCATCATCGGCGAAGAGAAGGGCTCGTACTGTTGTTTTGCAGATCTTGGTCTTAGCCTGGAGTCGAGCAAGATTGAAAAGCGACCCATCAGTTGGTCACTTTTAAGCACAAGGGGGCTATCCCGAAAAATGCTGTTTTGAGAAAATCGAAGGTAAAGTTTTTGTCTCTTGTTCAGTTTATTTAAAAGACAAGGAGAGTTTTCTCTGTAACTAAATAAATAATAGTAATTATACACACCAATAAAACCAAACTTCTTCTATAGGTGGGGCAAGATTTCTGGAAACCTCCGAAATCTGGGTTAGCTCGCTTGTCCTTGAAAGCGACCAGTTCTCCAGGGAAGTAAGGACAATAACTGTCCCTAAAATATCCACATTAACTTTGCACTCACCTTTTTCTTGTTACGTCCCTTGTCCAGAAGATAACGTAAAGGGAAATGCTGTGTTGTGTATTCAAAATCTTTGTCTGTGTCACTGTGTTCTCTCTTATTGTGTCTGTTTGTCTGTCTGTCTGTTATTCTGTCTGTCTGTCAGTCTGTCTGTTAGACTGTCTGTCTGTCTGTCTGTCTCGTTGTGTGTGTGTGTGTATGTGTGTGTGTGTGTGTGTGTGTGTGTGTGTGTGTGTGTG